CACATAAAAGAGTAGTTTGTGGATTCAAACCTAGTTTTCCAACAAATAAGTGAATTCTTACAAATGTAAATGCCAAGGCCAAGCATGTGACTATTGGAGTCTTTATGAATTAAAGGAAGATAATTATCAACAATAAGATCACAAGATGAGACAGCTGAACTCAAATTAGTCTCACAAAAAGCAAGTAAGTCTGGTGAACTTTGCAAGAGGTAAGACTCAACAGAAGAAAAGTTACTTTAAAGACCATGAATGTAAGTAAATGATAGGTAATATATTTAAAACAAATCATTTCATTAAACTTTTATTTAATAAAAAAAAAAAAAAAATTTAAATTACCCAATAAAAAGGTAATAATGAGATTTAGAGTTTTACAACTATTTTATCATGCTCCTGGTAAACATTTTTAAACAAGTGCACAACAATGATACAATTTAGAAAACCATCAAAATAGTATTATACTGTGTATAGCATTGGAAGAGTCAACTAGGGCATTACTAAATTATAATACAAGAGGCGTTTTAGATAAGCACACAGTAAGTATTTGAACTTATAATTAACTTTTTAAAATCTCTGAAATATCTATAAACCTCTCTATTATCATTATCATAATATTAATATATATATATATATATATATATATATATATATATATATATATATATATATATATATATATATATATATATATATATATATATATATATATATATATATATATATATATATATATATATATATATATATATATATAATTGAAAACTTTTATTTATTGATGGTATGTATATTTTGTAATTTTTTAATTTGTTTTTAAAATTACTAAAGTTTAATTTTTTGATGTTTTATTTCATGAAACATTTTCTGTGTTAGTAGGTGATGTATTGAAATTGTATCTCGACAAGCTGTTAATTTTATAGAAGCTGAAGATGACCTTATTTTAGATATAAGTAAGTTGTTATTTATTTTTTATTGTTTTTGTTTTTGTTAGATATTCAATCATGTTTTATATGAATCTAATTATTTAATACAATGTTATTTTCTGGTGGTGATATTCAGATTGTATAAGTTAAATTTACTTATAAAGAATGTTTCAAATTTACTTATTAAAAAATTTACATTTTCTCTTTTTTAGTTTCTAATTCAACTAATTTTTTTGTACAAAATGTCTAAAAATAAATAACAATATTTGGATTGTTATTTATGTTTAGTGCCATAGCTTTTCACATTGTAGGTTTTAAATCCTAACTTATCTATATCTTTAATTTTAAAGTTTATATTTGTATTAATGTAATAAAGTTATACATTTATTTATAGGCTTTTTAAATAAAATGTGTTTGATTTTTTAAGTGAAGTTGCAATTGGTATTTTTCTGTCATTGCCAATGACACGGATTTCAAAGTGAAAGAGGGAACAATTGTCAATTTCTAAAAAAAAAATGTCTTCGATATCTAGAACAGGCTATAAAATTTACCCTCAATTCATTAAAGGAAAGGGATTGGCCTTACCAAAGGTGAATTACATTAAAAAAAAAAATAATAAATAAAATTAAAAAATTGTTAAAAAATACCAATTTTTTTTCTTTTAACATTCATCTATATAATAATACTGAGCTTAACAGTAATAGTAAACCCTTAGTATTAGGAAATTTGAGGTTGGCAATAATTTGCTGACCTCAATATTTTAGAGGTCGGCAGCAGGTCAGAAAAAAAAATTTGATACAAGTCTTACCATAAAAGATAAAAACGAGGTTGGCAATTTTTTACCAACCTCAAACACTTTTAGGCAGTTGGTCGACATTGCCGAATGCTGACCCTAATTCCGAGGGTTGAGTAGTAGTGCCATTTCATGTTTGACACAGAACTCTTGGCAGCCATTGCAACCAAAGTAATGGCGAGAAAGAATTGCAGGACTTTGTTTATAAGAAAATGTGAACAAAAGTGTGTGCAAATATCTAACGTATGTAAAATTATGTAATTATGTGAAAAAAAATTATATAGTTTTAAAATTTTGTAAGTTAACGTGCCAGCGGGGCCAAGTAATTAGCACGCTAAGCTTTTAAACACAAGAGTCATGGTTCGAGCCCTTCACTGGTGATTTTATTTTTTTATTTTATTTTTATAGATTTTTTTAAAATAATTTTATACAGATTATATATAAACATATGTATGAATATTATACACTTTTACAAACAGAAAGATTTTCAAAAAAGCTGAAAATTCTAAAAATTTGTTGTGTATATAACATGATTGAGATACTTATGTTATTTTAGTTTAACATTTCAAGTTTTTTTTCAATTAAGTTGAGTTTGCTCAAGGAAAATGAGTATACAATATGTTTATATATAGAACATAAAATATATAGAACTATGAAGTTGTTTTGATTTGCATTTTGATTAACAAAAATTAACAAAAAAAAGCAGCCTGTTGATTTGAACTTGCCAAGCGGCAACCTTAATTTTTTTTAAATAATAAGAAGGTTCAAAAAGTTTGTTTTTAATAAGAACATAATTGATATTTTTTTGTTTAAATTAAACCATTTTATTAAAAACATTATTTTTTTAAATAATTAAAACTTAAAATTATTTAATATTGATATAATAGAGAAATTTAGAGTATTACAGCCATTTTAACACGCCCCCATTAAACATTCTAAACCGAGTGTCCAATAACGAAAAAAAATAGATAAACATCAAAATAGTATTAAATCCATTATTTTTTGGTTTAACTTTCAGATTAGGGATCGCCAACAAATTACGCAACACTAAATTTTACTAATGAAGAAACCAAAAAAGATCAATTTTTCTCTCGCTGAGTCATAAGTTAAAATAAAAAATAAAAATAGCTCATTGAATTTAATGAAAATTTCCACCTGAAAAAACTTAAGATCTCCTTTTTCAAAAAAAAATTTAGCGTTGCATAATTTAGGGATGATCCTTTAGCGTTTTTATAGTCTATAGTTTGATCTATAGTTTAATGGTCTAACATCTTCTTACTTCTGCAATTTGTATAGTGTTGTGTACAAACGACTGTAAGTGTAAACGTCTTTAACATATTAAAAGTTTGCAGGCATTATATGGATCAACCGTGTATAATAAATCTATAAAAATGAGAAAACTTTTGAATTTTATTTTAACAATTAGAAAACTTTGTTGCTATATTATAATTTTTTTTGCTATAAATACTGCTATGATTATTAGAAATAAATACTTTAATAAAAATTTTGCTCTAAAAATTAGCAAAGTAAGATTGAAAAATATTCAAAATTTATTAAGGCAGATCTTTAATCCACCAAAACGACACTGATGACAGCACACTAAGCCACTGATCTATCACTGATATGCATTTAGGAGAAAAACAAACCTAATTATAAATCTCTTATAATGTCTAGGTATGCGGAAAAAATGTGCATGTTAATTTTTTTTCTCTTTAAGCAATTTTTCAAAATGAATTATTTTACGTAAAAATAATGAAGTAAACAAATAATAGGTATAGAAACAATCAATGTAGAACAGATAAGTATAGAAATGGTAGGTTTGGGAAAGACCCATATTTATGGGTCTGGAAAACTAGGATATATATATATATATATATATATATATATATATATATATATATATATATATATATATATATATATATATATATATATATATATATATATATATATATATATATATATATATATATATATATATATATATATATATATATATATATATATATATATATATATATATATATATATATATATATAAGGAAAAAGTATAGAAAAGGTCAGTGTGGAATAGACTTACAAAAACCCATATTTTTCAGGTCAGATCAGCTAGTATAAATTAATACTAAGTTTATAAAAACTTTTTGTTAAAAAGTAACAAATTTTGTTGTTACACTAAACACCATCCATCATGTTGAAAAGTAATACAATTTTTTTTTACACTAAACAATATCAAAATTTAAGTCAGCAGAACACGCAAAATATTAAAATGAATTAGGAGCTGGTGTGACAATGTTTATGATTTTCTGTGTCAAAATAAAATTATGTTGTCATTTAAGATTTTGTGAATATTTTAAATTGCAGTTAATAAATTTTCATAATAACAGTTATCACTGAATAAGGTATTCATAAATATTCATAGGTATCTGAAAAGTTTTTACAATACAAAAGAACTTAAAAATCAATTTTTCATCTAATTACTTTTTATTTTTTGTTTGTCGTTTTTATAATTTATCCTTTTAAATTTAGTTGTCATTTAAAACTAATTTGTTGCAATCAAGGTAAAAATAATTTTATTTTATAGTCAAATCAAAAAATTTGTTTGCGCTGATAGCTTTTATGTTTTTGTTATTTTTTGTAATAGCTTATTGTAATTGCAATAAATGTCTTTTCTTGCAGATTTTGACTATTTTTAACAATGCTCTAGAAAAAAAATAAAAATAATTATTAAAAGATATTTAGGTCTTTTAAAGTTTATAAACTTTACATAATATGCTTATAAAATGGATATACTACATTTTGCTAATAAGCTGTAATTGGATATATCTAATATACTAATTAGATTTAACTGTAATTGGATATATCTAATATACTTATTAGATATATTCAATTACATATTGATATATATATACATAAAGTATATTAGATATTGACTATATCTAATATACTTAATGTATATATACATTAGGCAACAATAATTTTTTCAAATATATGAGACATGATTGTGTGGCAACTAAAGTCAATTATCTCAATACCAAAAAAATGGATATACCGCATTTTGAAAATACACTCTTCATATATACACACACAAACACAGGCCTATATACCCAAAAAAAGCATGAATATCAGTTAAAGAAAATATTTATAGAATGTATCAATACTTAGTTAACACCAGTTATAGTCCCAGCCTTGTTTTATTAAACCTTGGTCAAATAATAATCCCAGTCATTTATTGTGTTTTTGAGCATATGCTATTCTAAAGACCAGTTTTTAAAAAAAGCATTAATTACCTTGGACACAAATATTCCTGGCTCATTAACACCAAATGGGTGTGACACAACATCAGAACCACCAACAATACTCATCCCAAGAGGACCAGAAGTTTTTTTTAGCAAGATTTCCTTGATATAACAAATATAATTATATTATCAAATAAAAAATTAAAATCAAATAACAAACTAATGAAAACATTTTTTTCTTTTAACTTTTAAAGGAACAACAGCTATTACCTCTACTAAAAGTTTTGGTTCTTCTCCTCTTTCATCGGGAATAAGTTCAACCTTAATCACAACCGCATTATATTAAAAAGTATTATGTAGTGTATAATCTTTAATGATGATAATAATATTAATAATAATAGTAATAACAATATTTTATGCAACAATAGTCTCACTTAAGAAATAAAACAAAAAAGGTTTTATGTATAAACGGTCCATTCATTTTAGATTTGCTAGAATACAATGACATGGATTGAATTATTCTTAAAATATCTAGCTAGTTAGTTAAACTAGTGTTTAACTAGCTAGCATTTCAAAAACATTATGCTTACTTATTGTTTATTTTTATTTATTAGAAATTTTAGCATATAAATTCTTTGAATAGTCAAACGTAAGTAAGTGAATACACAAGGAAAGAATGAAATAAATCATGGTAAAGGAGAATTTGTTTTTTGAACAAAGCAAACTTAGTCAGTTGTTCATATAAAGATAAAGCTTAGTAGAAAAGGAAAAATAGACACATAAACAATATACAGAATGAAACACAAAACTATTTATAAATATTGATGAACAAAAAAATAAAACAAGTATTACTAGACAAACCAAAACATAAATAACAAAAATTCAACTGCGCAATAAAACAAACTTAAAATGGTTGCCTTTGTATAAGAAAAATTTTTGTGGCGGAAGGCTTCTCAGAATCTATTTTTATCAGCGCTTTAAAGAGGCTCAGTAACAATAACTTGTTATTCTGTCAGATAAATGACACTTCCTATGCTTTACCCTTGTGATTTCGACCTGTTTGGTACTGCAGTAAATTTATTACAAACACCCAAAAATGAACTACACTTACAATTTTTCAAGAATCAATGTTTTTGAAAAAGCAATAAAAAAAGAAAAAAAAATTAAAGCCCCAGAATAAGTTTTTTTTTTTTTAACATCTTCACTTCCAACAAGGCTGCAAGCAACCACTAATTAGTGTTGGAAGTTACTGGAAGAGAAAAGATGAAGACTGTAGAGCAAGATAACGATTGACAGACTTTATTATAAAGTCCTTTAGTCCTTTATTATTTAGTCCTTTTAACGATTGACAGACTTATTAGAAAGTCCTTTATTGTTAAACTTAAAAGGGTAAGTCTCTGACAAACCCTAATGTTATCATAGATAATTAATATGAACAATAATATTAATCAAAAGAATATTCGAAAAAAAATGAAAAGAATATTCAATAATGAAAAGAATGTTCAAAAAAAAAAAAAAAAAATACCTTAGTTGTTTCACCAATTGTTTTAACATTACCATTAATTTGTGACAATGGTTTCATTTTTTTATGAATAACTCGTTCTCGATGAGCAACCAATGAAACTTTTTCTGTTGCATTAACAAGAATTTTAACAACATCGTCATGCTTTGCTTCACGAACATCTACATTATTTATCTAGAAAACAAAAAAATAAAAAAAAATATTTTCAAAAAATAAAAGTTTTAAAACAAGAAATTTTTCATTTGACATAAAGCAATATACACCCCCTCGCAACTGATAATAAAGATGTTTTAAAAGTGTTTGATTCATTGTTTCAAAAAAAAAAATTAAAGAAAATATTTAAGTTGACCTACAGATAACAATCTATCTCCAACTTGCAACCGATTATCAAGTGCTGCAGGACCATTATCTGTTATTTTACTGATGTAAATACCCTAACACACCATACATGATGTAAATATAGAACATATTAATATTTTGCAGAATTACAGAATATATTAATTTAACAAAACACATTTACATGCAATTAAAGAATTTATTAATTAATTTAACAGAATGTATTTGCATACAATTACAGAATATATAAATTAATTTTAACAGAATATATTATTTTACAACATAAATACTTTAAAATATTAGTTATAATTAATAAAACAAAACAAACCTCATCATTTTTGTTGTTATATGGATTAGCACCTTTTCCACCAGCTATACTGAATCCTAGGCCCTTTGCATCTCTGATAAGTACCACAGGTATTGTCTGAAAAATGAAATTATAAATAACTTAAACATTAATGCAAAGAGTTTAAACTTTAAAATGATAACCAGCCCTCGGAATTAGAAAAACTAAGGTTGACAATAATTTGCCAACCTTAATCGGCATCAGGACCGCAGAAAAAATGTAAACCAAAGGTTTGACCATAAAACATAGAATCAAAGTCGGCAACTTTTTGCTGACCTCAAACACTTTTAAGTCTGCAGTTGGTTCGACATTTCCAAATGCCGACGCTTCTGAGGGTTGGATAACACAAGCAAAATTTTTGTATTATTTAAAATACTTTAGCTAATAAAACTCTAAAATAAATATAAAGTAAATACAAAACTGAAGTTATTAATTTCCAGCAAATCTTCTATAAGTTTAGTTGTCATATTTATTTTAGAAAAGAAGTTAAAAATAAATTAAATATGTTTAAAATGATTGTATAAATTCTATCAAATTTAAAACATGCAAAAAAAAATTTAAAATATGTTGTTTAAGTTCAATGTTAAAAATGTTGAATTTTAAATTGATTGAAAAAAATTAGAGAAATTAGAGAAAAAAATTAGAGAATTTTAAATTGATTGAAAAAAACGGACATATTTAACTAAAGTATCCTTTTAGAACTGGGTGTTAGCCAGCCCAATGACACCGCACATCGCAAAATTCTCAAAATTCAATGACTTTTCTTTTTTTGAAGAATATTTCTTATTAATAAGAAATTTTCTTCAAAAAAAGAAAATTTCTTATTAATAAGAAATATTCTTCAAAAAAAGAAAAGTCATTGAATTTTGAGAATTTTGCGATGTGTGGTGTCGTTGGGCTTTAAAACTTTAAAGTTTTAAAGCCCAATAATCTGTAGAAAGACCAATAATCTGTAGAATAATAATAAATATATCTTTTTATTGCAAAAACGCTGTAAAAAAAAAAAAAAAAAAAGGCTAACACCCTGTACAAGCAATAAAATAAAAATCATTTATATCATTTAAAAATTTCTTTTATTTCATTGGTCTCTTTTTAAAAAATCTTTTGTGACTTTTTTTTTATTCTTAACTTATCAATTTTGTTACAACTCTCTCTCTTTTTCTCTCAACCTATCTAACTGAAACATAAGACTTGAAAATTAAGGTTGTTGCATTGATAAACAAGTGTGGATCTAGCAGGGATATGGTGGAAATCAAACTCAAAACCTTTAGTTTACAATGCAAGAGCTCAACCACTATTTGTCTGATATAGCTAGAACTAAAAAGGTATGATAAAAACACTGGGGGTTGAACAAGCAATGCTTTTTTTTTTTACTTTAAATATGTCAATAAAAGCGTTAAATATAACATAAAAATTATCTTGCAATTAGGGTCAAAATGATAATTTCTTTATGTTTCTGCTAAAGGGTCATAACTAATAATTTTAAACATTTTGTAATAAACTTGGCAATTTGTCATTTCATAAATTAGACAAACTGTCAGGTTTTGTCATGAAGAGTCACAATTTTTTAAAATAAAAACATTTACCAACTTATTAAATTTAAAATATATCACGTAAATAATCAAATAAATCAATAATTAAATATGATCAAATAAATCAATGTATCAAATATTATATTGTTAGCTTTGACATACTTTAAACTACTCTTTGATTAAGCTTATTGTAGACAATTTCTGTGGTAACAAGAAAATAAATTAATTAATCTTAATTGTTGTCAACAAAATTATTTACCAGAGTCTCTATTTCAATATCTTCAACTTCAGGTTCTGCTGCAAATCTGACACTTTTTTCTCTCTGGTTCTAAGAATAATACAAAACAAATAAAATTATTTTATCTTAACAATATCAAAGCTATGACTTTCTCATATTATTGTTTTGAATCAAATAATAAATGTTCAAGAATTAATATATGAAAGTAAATTTGTTATCTGAAATTAAAAGGTTGTTAAAACCAATATTGCAGTTTTTGAATCAATAATAATTTCAACTAAGAAAATTTTTACATGCAATCAATCTACTTTAAAATAGAATTTTTAAGCTTTCAAATAATAATTAATCTAGATGTTGATAATTTAGATTCTAAATGGTTTTTTTAGAGAAAAAAATTAACAAAATAAAATGCGTCCAAAAAAATGCTTCCATAAATGAAAAGTGCTAACTAGTATAGTTTTTTGTAATCACCTACTATGTCAAGGATTAAACAATGTTATACAAAAAATATTATTATTTTTTGTTAAAATTCAAAATATTCAATGTTTTTACGCTTTTAGCAACAACAACTATTTTACACTTTTAGCAACAACAAAAAAAATTTTAGCCATAAAAAAAACTATAAAAACAAATCTTTTTAAAAATATATTATTACTAAAATAAGTTAGTTAAGTATAAAACAGTTCTAAAAACATATATTGAAAAAAAAAAAAAAAAAAAAAAAAAATGGTAAGGGCTTCTTCATAGTAGGGGAAGAAATGACCATACTTCCATGGTCACTGCAAGTTATCATCTCACTTGACCTGTTCCTTCATGGTCCAAAAATTTTTAGTCTATTTTTTTTTCTGCAAAAATCAGTCCTTAATGTTTCCTAATTCATAAAATTTATATTTTTTAACTGCCTTCTTGCTCTTAGTCTTTCTTTTTCTCTTTTTGTTAGCTTCCATCTTAATAAGTAGTTGCTTGTAACTTTGTTAAGAATGAATTTTTTAAAAGCAAAAATCTTTAAAAAAGTTAATGAAAAACAAATTTAAAATATTCTAATTTTATTAAGAGAAAATTCATGTGTTTGTAGTAAAAATGTGTTTAAAAAATGTTTAAACTAAAACAATTAAATCATGTTTTGATTAAGCACTGGCATTAATGCAATTTAATTAACTAGATAAAAAAAATTGGGGGCGCTTAATAACAAAAATTTTGATTTAACAATATATATATATATATATATATATATATATATATATATATATATATATGTGTGTATATATATATATATATATATATATATATATATATATATATATATATATATATATATATATATATATATATATATATATATATATATATATATATATATATATATATATATATATATATATATATATATATATATATATATATATATATATATATATATATATATATATTGTTGAATCAAAATTTATATATTATATATGCTGTTTTGTTTTAAAAATTATTTGAAAAATATTAAATCTATTAAATAAAGTCATAACTTGTTATTACAATTTTTATCTGCCATTTTTAAAATCATAATTTTAACTTTTAATTTCAATAGCGTGTACTGTAACTAGATTTGCATGTAGTGTAACTATGACAACTAAAACTGATTTCTGTATGAACTATAACTATAATCTGTATGAACTATAACTGATAACTTAAAAACTATATCATTTTGTCTCAATTGTTTTTTTCCACGGTTTATAATTTGTATAAACATTTCTATTTTTATTGTTTTTTGTATTTAAAAGCTTTTTATTATAAAACTTATTTTTCCAATGTTCCGGAACTTTTTACAAAATATTTATTTTCTTTAAAAACATATTTATAAAATTACTATATCTTAAAATTTTTAATATAACATCTTATTACTTGGTTACATATTAGAATATAAATGATTAGCTTAGATATTAGTATACATGTATACAACAAAGGTGAACTATACTTACATTAAGTGCAAGATTGATCTGATCTTCATCAGTAACTTCACGCAATACAACAAGTTGTACTTTGTCACCACTTTCTTTTAATACTGCAACTGCTTCCTTGTGATTGTAGTTAGATATGTCAACGCCATTTACCTAAAAATGCAATTATTTACAATGTATATGTAAATAATTATAAAATAATAGAGTAAAAAAAATAGAAAAAAATAATAGAGTAAAAAAAAAAAGAAAAAAAAATAGAGTCAAACTCTATACTTAATTTATTATTTATAAAAACAAAAATAGTTTAAACAAAACAGTTTGTGTAAAAAATTAATAAATGCAATATATTTAAATGTTTAATTCTTTACTTAATATACTTTTCTCCTTAAGACCAAAAAAAACCACAGTCAAGATGGTTACCATTTTTTCTATCAATTATTGTTAGACCTCTCTCTTAACCCATTAACCTGCACAAACAAACCTTTTAACTGCACAAATAAACCTTTAAAAGCACAAACCTTGAATTAGGCGCTGTACTAGGACTAATTAAAAAACATACTGCAAAAAAATAATAATAATAAAATAGTGAAAAATGGTACTAAATATTGTTCCCAAAAAAATGAGATTCATAAATGCAACTTAATTATGAAACAACATTTTTCATTATGCTAAGTAAAATATAAGTAATGTTAATAATAAAGAAAATAAAAATAAAATTTTTTTCTGAAAACTAGGGTGATAGAAGAATTTCAAAAAAAAAATTTGGCTGTCTCTAAAATAGCCAGCCAAAAAAATGTTTTTACATTTGAACATTATCATTTCTGCGTGTTTGTCACTAACAATGATGCACAAAATTGACAACTTAGGTTTAGGAGCTAAGGTTTAATTTGTAAACAAGATATTGCTTGCACCTGTACTGAGCTATAAGAACAAAAGAACCATGTCTAAAGCAGGATATAGAACAAAAAACAGATTAGAAGAAAAATAGAAAAAGTAACGTAGATTAGTAATTCAACAAAGAGAAATAACCAAAACTAAAAGATTATTTAGACAGTAACCAGACTTTGTGATAAAGCAATGGATGCAGTGCATTCTGCGTAACCAAGAAGTGACTTAGCATAAAGCTAAGCTATTTACATTAAGCTAAAAACTTTTTTGTTTAGTAATATTTAAATAACATATTTAATAAGATATTTTTAAGCTGTATATTAATAAAGTAATTGTTTATTTTAACAGTATTTTAATATAGTATTTAAAAATTTTAAAGCTACAAACGATTGTTACAATAGTTTAATTATATAGTTTTGAATACATGCAACATTCTCACTATTTACAAATTCAAATAAAATAAAAAAATTAAGTTGAAAAAACTTTTATAAAAGTAACATTAATTATTATTATTGTTAATATATTGTTATAAACTTTTAAAAATAAATATCATATTATTTGTATATTAAAAATGAGATTAAAAACAAAACAAAAACTATTTAAATATTTTCAAATATTCAAATTAAAACTTTTTTAATTGAAATATTCAGCAACAAAAGAAAAACTTGTGAATTGTTTTAGTTGCTAGCCTATATAAAATATATAGGTTAGTTAGGGGTAATTTAAACGCTGTAGTTAGGGGTAATCTAAAGTTAGGGGTAGTTAATTAGGGGTAGTTAGGGGTAATCTAAACACTGAGCTAATCCAAACAGTTTATTTTTTCTGACCTATGTTATGTATAACTTAAAAATTGGATATCAAGTTCTTCATAAACTTAATCTATTAATTTGAAAAATTGAATATCAAATTATCAATAAAAATATCATCAATAAAAATTAAATATCAAATTATCAATAAAAATATTATCAATTAAAATTGAATATCAAATATCAATTGAATATCGAAAAATTGGATATCAAGTTCTTCATAAACTTAATCTATATAAAGTTACTTGTGTAAGGACAATATATATTTACTCTTGAAAGTACAAAGATTTCAGAAAATATTTCCAAAATCGCAGTGCTTTCATCATTTTTTGTGAAGTTAAAAGTTAATTTCAATATTTTAAAATATTAAATTGTTATTCATTCTTTTGTTTTGTTGAGAAGACAAGTCAAGCAATTAATTTACTTAAATTTAATTTTTACAGAAAAATATTGCTTTACTTTGTTTCTTTAGTTTACTTTTTAACTTTTACTGTTAAAAGGCTAACAGCTTCTAATGCATTTAAAAGTGTTACGCAGCTGCAATTTACAAACGTGTTACAGCAAACTAAATATGGCTGGTTAAGTATTTTATCACAAAAAAATAGCTAGTAAAGTATTTAATAGGTTTTATTTTGCATTAACTTATACTTTTTATTTGTTACTCACTAACTTTTTAAAAACAAAAAAATCATTATTAGTTGCAAAGCCACAATTACAAAAATAAGAAATAACAAAAAAAAAATTTAACATATTATAATTCATTTATACCAATGTAGAGAAAAATTTTTTAAATTAAATTCAGCGTGGAAAATAAGGAATTGAAGGACAACGGTCAATTTGACCGGTCAACTCAAGGAATTGACGGTCAATTGTTTTTTTTTTGGATGGTCAAAATTTTTTTTTTGTTTAAATCAAAAAAAAAGATGTTAAAGCGAATTTAATCCTTGACATGGTATTTCCTCCAGCTAATTGCCTTGTGGAGGCCACATTACCAGAGTCCATAGAGATTTGTTTCGGCTCCCGGGAGAGCGTCATAGCCAGCTCTACAGACCGAGAGTAAGGTGAGTTTGGGGGGAACGAAGATATGTTAGAGTGAGGGAGAGAAGTGGTCGGTGGATAGCATAGAGTGAGCGGACAGGATTGCGCACGATGCTGGAAGGTGCTATAACGTACTGTTAGTTGGGTTGGCCTAAGTAAAGTACGCCGACAAAGTTGTGATTGGAGTTCACTTAACATGAACTCTTCCTCAACTTTCTTTGCCGTCCAAGGGACACATTAAAATGTCTTTTATATAGAAATTTGCTTCTAAACTACTTGCGGGTTCGTTTTTTATTAAAGGTATTCTTTATTTATAGAAAAATGTTTCTTTGCTTAAAATTGGCTTAAGAGCGAACTTGCATAAGTGCAAACTAGCATAAGTGTGAGGCGTTGCAAAAACTGGCACAAGTACGAAGTGGCATAAGTGGGAATTATAATTAGTTGCATTATACCAATATTTGCAATTTTATTTGGCGCATTTATGTATGTTCGCACTTATCACATTTCGCACTTATTCCAATGTTTCGAAATTCTTTTGGCTCACTTATGCTAAATCGCACTTATGCCAGTTCGCTCTTGTGCCAGTTTTTGCAACTGCTTTGCACTTATGCCAGTTTGCATTTATGTTAATTCGCATATATGCCAGTTCGTACTTACACCATTCACACTTATGCTAGTTCGCACTTATGAAATTCGCGCTTATTCAGTCACCCTCTTTAATCAGGAAATACTCTGTTTCTTTAATAAGGATAAAAAGGTCGATTTAATTTCAAATGTCTTGACATTGCTATATATCATGACTCTCTGTAAAGACTAAAAAGAAGAAAATAAAATATATGAATTACATTTGCTAAAAAATTTAATATTTTATAATCTTTTCTTTTATATAATTTTTTTCCTTAACTATTTTTGTCGTTCATGACGCTCTAAAAAATAAACCTTTTATAGAGAAATTTGCTACTAAATTGCTCACTGGTTAGTTTATAATAGAATTGATTATTATATAAGAAACCTTTTCATTTTTAAAATAGGCTAATATTGCTTGTGGGTTTGTAATTTTTTTTTTAATTTACTTTGTTCTCTTTTAAAAACAATTTTTTTTATTTTTAAAATCTGCTAAGATTGCTTGCGGGTTTGTATTTCTTTTTAAATCTTTTTTTTTAATACTTTTTTTTGAAAAATGTTTTTTTTAATAAAATTGAAAAAGTGACTTACAGATTAATGTTAATTTTGTTTAATATTAATATTAAAATATACTACTTCTGTGGGAGGACGCGGGTAGCAATGCAAATGAAATATTTGTATTTTATGTTATTTTACTTTTATATAAATTTTTTTTCATCTTTTAAAGTTTTATATAAAAAAATTTTATTTCGCTCCTTTTATCAGCAAATACTACTTTTCTTTAGGATAAAAAGCTCGACTTAATTACACATGTCTAGATAAACGCATTGCTAAATATTGCAACTCTCTGTAAAGACTAAAAAGTAAAAAATAAAATATAGCAAAAACATTTGCTAAAAATATAATCTTTTTGTACTAAAAAGTAGAAAATAAACTTTATAATTTAAATTTAATATTTCTGTAAACTAAAGATTGACAGTTATGTTTCTAAATAAACATTGCGCAGACCTGTCAATCTTTAGTTTACTATTAAATTTAAATTAAAAAGTTTATTTTCTACTTTTTAGTACAAAAAGATTATAATTTTAGCAAATGTTATTGCTATATTTTATTAAAAATGTTGATTTTAAAATTTTTTTTTAAATTTAAATTACTAAAATATTTTATCAACAATTTAATATTAATAATTTTAATACTTTTAATTTTATTAAAATACAAAAGTTTTTATTAAAAAACTATTCTAATAGTTAAAGCTAATAGAAACCAGTAATTTTCTCTCTTTTTTTTTTTCTCGCTGTATTGACCCTGAACCGTTCCTCATGACTAAACTTTATATATCAAAAAAAATAGTTAAGGCTTGAAGGGTAAGGCTTGAAGAATAAAAAATTGTTTTAATAATAGCAATTTTAAATAAAATTAATGCTTTTTTTAAAAGTGCAAACAGGCAATTTATAATTTTCAATTTATTTAAAAATAATTGATTTCATTGCAATGACTTCGCAAATGGCAGGAAAAGTTGCACGAAAAATAATAAAAAAGATTCAATGAAAAAAAAGTACAGATGAGATTATGTTCTTATTACATATAATAATTTTGAATAATAATGAAATCTCTGAAGGTAAAGAAGAAATACTTTCGCACATTGAATCTCTTGCTCATTAAAAGCTTTTCAAAAACCGCTAATGTTAATTAGTTAATAATAATGTTACTAACTCTTGTTTGCAACTTAAAGTTTAAGTTTAAACAGTTAAAACTGAATGTTTAGTACTTTAAATATTTTTAACTATTCGTCTTCTT